TTCGTTTAAAATGAAATCAAATATCTCTTTTAGTAATGTGGGATGATCAATTATCATTTCTTTGACTGATGCCTTTGTACTAGAATATGCTAAACCTTCAATAGCATTTTTACGTACTTCATAATTTGAATCAGAATCTAATACCAGATTTCTAAATAATCCTGCTAATTTTATTTCTTCTCTTTCTTCTTCTGGTCCTGATTCTGCAGTGACATGATCTTTATCTGTTATTAATTTTTTATTATTTATACTGTTAACAATTGGGTCGTTGTCGTTGTTGTTTTTGGATTTTTCATCCAAGAAAATCTTTGTTGAAATAACAGCTGACAAAGATTTGAGATGCTGATTTTTACTAATCATTAAAGATTTTAAATATTCTTGACAATTTGCAGCAATTAAAAGTCTAGAGTTTTTTTGTGAACAAGCCAAGGACAAGATTTCCAAAATTGTTAATTGTACCTGTTCATCTTCAAACTCAACACAATCCATCATCTCTTCCAAAAAGCCCGCTTTGTTCAATACTTCTTCGCCTAATTCATAAAAAACTTTAAATATATATAATAATGCATTATATCCAAATAATTTATCAATTTTTTTGGTTGAATTTGTCCAATTTGATATTATTTCAAAAGTTTTTTGCTTAAACAATAATAATAATGACGATGACGTTGTTGTTTTATTGGAGTTTTTTTCTGCATCGTTGTAAAATTTTTCGATTAATTTTGATAAAAATATCAAACTTGTTGTTTTAACCTTTTCACTTTTCGAGCCTCCAAAACAACTTAAAATTGTTTTAAAATCTGATGAATTTATAAATTTTTCATAGTCCTCATCGTTATCACCACCACTACTTGATTTTATGACCTTTTGTAATTCATGATTAAGAAAATTCAATTGCGATTCCTCCGGTTCATTTAAATTCATATTAAGAAAAAATGTGTAATTAGTTTGATTGGCTGAAAATATTACTTTATATGTAACAAAAATTTGTGATGAATTGAACACGTTATTATCCTGTATATCGATTTTGTAGAATTGTCATTAATATGAAAAACAGATTCTTTGAATTTACCGTCCAAGAATGAAATTAGAAAGAATGACGGAATGTTTAATCGTTTTTGGACATGCCGTGCCATTAATCGCAGCAATTTTTCAACTCGTCTTCTGTGACCAATGAAATAGTGTCTTCCTTATAAAGGCCATTTTCGTATTTTTCCTATACAATTGTTAACCCATCGAAAATACTTTTACTTGTTTCTTCACTAAAGAAATGATGAAAATTTCTTTGTTTTAAGATGTTTTTCTCTTGAGCTGTGAAAATTTATGAAGGATTTTGTCAAATTAAAGAACTGACCCTTTCGGTGAGTAGACACACCTAGAAGTCAGCAAATGATTGATACGAGTCCAGAATGATGTAAATTAGTTACGAAGACGAAGAAACTTTCATTTTAATATTAATAATATGCACCAAAAATTTTTTAGGGATTAAATTATTACATATGACTCAATCAATAATACCCTCGCATATGACTGATATACAATAATCATAATCTCTACTAAATGTTTTGTAATAAATCTTTATTTTAATTTGATTTGTATCAAACAGTATAAGTAAACAAATACCATAATCGGCCATTTGATAATCTCGTCATGTTTGATGAACATTATAAGAACATCCATCATTCATTCTCGGATAAAAAACCAAACTACAAATCTTTTGATAACCATTGTTGAACATTAATAAAAAGCAAATATTTTTCACTAATAATAATAAAATGCATATTTTTTACTGTGAATTTACTTGTGGGTTGTTGGAATTTTCCTTGGTCTTTTGCTCAATTATAAGACTTCCAAATCCCACCTCTGTGATATAATCCATAAAATATATTAATACAATCAATAGGGCCTGGAAAAGTCAAAACAAAAAAATAAAATCAAAGTAAATTAATTATTGATCAAAAATACTTGGAAGAGATCGAAAAGTTGTGGAGGGATCTTAAACCCTTAATTTGATACTCAGATTTTCATCTAGCACTAGTAAAATGTCAACTGAAATCTATGAATTGTACAGAGAAGGAAAAGGTATTGCAATCTCCACTGTGAAAAACTCCTGCCAAAAAATCCAGGAATGGGGTAATAAAAGAGATGAAAATGATAATGGCCAAGAAGGATAGAAGGAAGAAGATATTAATAATAGTAAAACAATCTTGACATAGTTCTACTTTATTGGCTTTTGTGACCAAGGTCAACTTTATCAACTAAAGTCAACTTTTGTGTTCCATCTATTCATCAATTAAGTGAAGATGAACATAAATTGTCCTCACATTTATTATCTTATTATCAGTTTCAACTAGTGTGAATAGTGTGAATAGTGATGAATATGATTACTTTACATTTAAAATTTATAAAACTCTAAAATATCAAAAGATTTTATTGTCTATTGCATTGTTTATAAAATGTTGTATATAGGTAAAATTACAAGGGGGTAAATGGTCATTCTCTCTTAATTACTTTTATCTTTTTTCAAATCGTTATATTTGTTGCCCAGAAACATTTAATGAATTGATAATTTCAGTAAGTAAAATAGTAGAATCATCTTACTATACATTTAATTATTTACAAAAATTATTGATGTAAAAAAAAGTAAAAAAATTACATAAATCAACAAAGAATTATTATAATTAAAAGTAATGAATTAAAATTAAAATTAAAAAAATAATTTAAACAATAATTTATTACCAAAAGATATATGGGGCATGCTGCAACAAAGCCAGACAAAGTGAACATTGTTATTACCAAAGATTTCAGGGATCAATAGTGTTTTTAACATCACAATATTCATCTAGACAAAAATAGTTAATATGAAGTTAATTTACATCAGATCTACTATGGAATCCAAGAATTATAGCATCATTAGAAGTATTCTGAAGAAAGAACAAGGTGAGAAAATTGCTCCTTACATTTTTAAATTAGCAGATACCAAATCTTTGCAAACACGTTTAGACAAACCCTATAAAAAATTTAGGTACGGAAAATGTATGGAAAACTGTACGGGATTTGTACGGGAAAACAGTACATGAACCGTATTGTTTTACGGAATGGGTACGGGAAAAATGCACGGAATCTTCCTGTCAAATGCGCCGAAATGTACGGAATTTGTGCGGGATAGATACGGAGTAGGTGCGGAATTCGTACGAAACACGCACGGAATACACACGGTTTTTACGGAAAACATACGGAATTAGTTAGCACATCACGTAATTCATACGGGAAACGTACGAGAAAAACGAATTCCGTATGTTTTCCGTAAAAACCGTGTGTATTCCGTGCGTGTTTCGTACGCATTCCGCACCTACTCCGTATCTATCCCGCACAAATTCCGTACATTTCGGCGCATTTGACAGGAAGATTCCGTGCATTTTTCCCGTACCCATTCCGTAAAACAATACGGTTCATGTACTGTTTTTCCGTATGTTATTTTTTATAGGGCATTGGAAATGTTTGATCAGGGTGTAGAATATGAAATAGAATTTTAAAATTTAGTATATCAATAAAAAAATTTTTTTTGTAGAAACTTATCATATGACGAGCTTATTTTTTAAAATGATCTATCATAAATAAACATCTTCCCACGTGCGTAAATAGGACCCCGAGACATTTCAATCTTTGTCCTTCAAAATCGAAAAATCATTTCTTAATTAGGAGAAATTTTATGATGATCATGTAAATTATTTCCAAAATGGTAATAACTTGTGTATTTTTTTTCAAATGTATATTCACTATCATGGATTCTCTTCCCGCTTTATATCAACTAGAATTTACACAAAAAATGAATCGAGCTATTCTTAACTTATAGGTCAATAAAATCACATACAACATACTATAAAAGATTAAACTTATTATAATCACTAAATATGTCTGCTTTTGATATTCCTACTATCCTTGGTAACCATTATCCAAACCCTTTAATATTCGTCCCGGGAGGTAAGTTTCCGAATTTTCTTTTTTAACTCGGTTACCTCTTCTTCGAGCATAGCCAACTATTGCTCTCGATTGAGTAGGTAGCTCTCCTTTTTATCTACATCCTTTAAAGCTAATCTGTGTCGCTTCTGTAAAACAGATACTTGGGATTTGAGTTCTCGAATCTCTGATTCATAATAGTGTTAACCTGAAATGAAATGCCCTACTACATTGTTCTAACTCTTTTATGAGAATACAGAATTTTTTTCTCGTTCGCTTGGTTTATACTTGCCTCAGAATCGAGTTCCTTCCTCAACTCGTGATTGTTTCAACAATGCTAAATAGGCTGGACCGAAATCCATGCCAAAAAAAAAAATTTCACCTTGGTTTATAGTATCAATAATAAGATTTCGCAATCATGGCAATGAGTTACCTACCATCATAATTAGTTCCTATGAGGAAGTAGCCCTAGTCTGTAGCTTTTTTATTATAGCGTTCCTGGATTTTATTCGAATGTCAAAAAATTGTTAGACGCATGCAGAAAAGATTTCACCTTGCTGATATTAGATTCTGGCTTAAGCAGCGGTTCGACTACCAAATATATCTCTTTCCGCAAAAATGCAAAGCTAGAAGTGTAATAAACCTGTAATATTAATTAGTATTGGTGTTAGTTACTCAAATAAATATAAATAAATATTACTACCCCACATAATTTTTCATATTGTTGAGAAAAACCTGGTAAAAATCATTTGACTGATCAGAGTTCATAAATAATAAACTTTAATTTAAAAATTTAACTATTTTTATATAAATATTAATTAAGACTATTACTATATAAATGTCTGTTTTTTCGCACGATTTTTTATTTTTTATTTTTTTTTGTAATTATATAAAAAATCATGTATAAATTTATGGTTATAAATTTTGCAAAATCAAAATCATCTTTATCAACGACAAAATCAATATTAAGATCAAATAAGTCTTTTAATGATGTTAGCAGTAGTAACTTGGTTAGATTTTTTTCAAATTCACCACCTAAAATGTCTGCTACATTGGGTACTTTTAAAATACCAGAAATTCTTAATGAACCAATGGTATGGTAAATTTATTGTTTTATTTTTTGCCTTTTATAATAAATAATTCATTTTATTTTAGTTAATTAATTGAAAAATATATAGAAAAACTATGAAATTGGTAGTAATGATCGAATTAAACTTCTTGATGCTTTAAAAGAATTAAGAGCTCAAGCTCCAATAGACATTCCTGTTTTAGTGAATGGTAAAAAGGTATTTAACAATTATACATATATATCAATCATTTAAAGCCTTTAAATCATTCATTATAATCGTATTTATATTGATATATATAGTATTATACTGGTAAAATACAAGAACAAAGAATTCCATCAGACCATGCAGTTGTACTAGCAAAAGCTCATGAAGCTGATCCAAATATCATAAATGAAGCAATCGAGGGAGCACTGATAGCTAAAAAAAATTGGGAAACTTTACCATTTAGCGATAGATCTGCTATATTCTTAAAAGCTGCTGATTTAGTTGCTAATAAATATCGGTTTAAATTGATGGCTGCCACAATGCTTGGTCAGGGTAAAAATACATGGTAATTATTATTATTATTATTATTATTATTTGAGGGTAATGATGAGTATGTTTATTTAAAAAAAATTTATTAATGTGAAATTGATTATTAGGCAAGCAGAAATAGACGCTTCTGCGGAACTAGTAGACTTTTGGAAATTTAATTGTCAATATGCGCAGGATATATATCAACAACAACCGCCTAGAAATGCATCTGGAACTTGGAACAGAGTTGAGTATCGACCACTGGAAGGATTTGTTTATGCAATCACACCATTCAATTTCACAGCAATTGGTGGTAATTTACCAGGAGCACCAGCTCTAATGGGTAATGTTGTACTCTTGAAACCTTCACCTTTTGCCACTCTATCAAATTGGATAGTTTTGGAAATACTCAGAGAAGCAGGACTTCCAGATGGTGTGATACAATGGATTCCTGGTCCAGCTGTCGAGATCACTCAACAAATATTGAAGTCACCTGAATTTGCATCGTTACATTTCACTGGATCAACTTCTGTATTTAAACAGTTGTGGAAAGATATTGGTAATAATATTGATATTTATAAATCATATCCAAGAATTGTTGGCGAGACTGGTGGGAAGAATTATCATATGGTACATGAGTCTGCTGATGTGTCGAATGCTGTCAATCAGACAATTCGTGCTGCTTTTGAATACTCAGGCCAAAAATGTTCAGCTTGCTCTCGTGCTTACGTACCTGACTCAATATGGGAACAGTTTAGTAAATTGTTATTGCAACAAATTAATAAAATTAAAGTTGGACCTGTTGAAGGTAATTTATTATTATTCTGTTTGTTAATTAGTTGAAAGTAATTAATTTCATTTTTTTTCTTTTTGGAAATAATAAATAGACTTTACCAACTTTATGGGTGCTGTTATGTAAGTTTAATCTGATTTTTTAGCAGACAATTGTAATGATCATATATGATTAGTTAATAACCATATTAATACCTTATTTATTCTTTAGCCATAAAGGTTCTTTTGAAAAGATTAAAAATTATATTGAATGGGCAAAACAAGATCCAGACAGTAATATTATAGCAGGTGGAACCTATAATGATTCAAAAGGTTATTTCATTCAACCAACAGTAATAGTCACCAAAAATCCAAAAAGTCGAACTATAGCTGAAGAAATTTTTGGGTATTTATTTATTCAGTCAAGTATTATTACCATTGATTACTTTTTATTAGTTTATACGTTAACAATAAAATTTTTTATTTTTTGGGAAAAAAAAGGCCTGTGCTTACAATTTACGTGTGAGTAGTATTCAAGATAAGATTTCAGATTTTTTCTCTTATATATTTCTCTATTCTGATTCTTTCTAATCCTTTAACTCTTAAAATATTTTTATAGATATAAATCAGATGAATTTGAAAAGACACTTGATTTGGCAAATGAAACATCCGGTTATGCATTAACAGGAGCAATGTAAAAAAAATTCTCATTACAATAAATACATCATTAAAAAAAAAATATCAAATATTAATTTATTTATTTCTCCATAAACATTTTAATTAGTTTTGCACAAGATCGTTCAGTAATTGTGAAGGCAGAAAACAAATTACGATACGCATCTGGTAATTTCTATATTAATGATAAATCTACTGGTGCTATAGTAGGTCAACAACCTTTTGGTGGCGCACGTGCATCTGGAACAAATGATAAAGCCGGAAGTCATACTTTGGTATTTAGTTTTTGGGGTGTAATTGTGATTTTTATTTCATAAATATATAAATATATATATATATATTTTATAATTAACTTTTTTCTTGTTTTTGCGAAAAATATAGTTGTATCGATTTCTTTCAATGCGTACTATCAAAGAAAATTTCATCAATATTGAAGATTTTACTTACCCATCAAATCTTACTTGATTAAAACAACCTTTTTTAGATATAATTCATAATATTAATTTATTAAATGTATTAGAAAATACTTTATTAAATATATAATTCATTATAATATTAATTTATTAAATGTATTAAAATAATTTATTAAATAATAATAATAAATTTTAATTTATTTTATTTTCCGATAAAAAAGGAGCAACTGCAGCAAACCCACAATCACTAAAAATTATGCGCTCGAGATACCCGTAATATTGTAACAGGGCAGCTGAAAATAGCCATAGAAGAGGGAGGAATGGGGTAATTGAACCTGATATTTTATTTAACTTGGTTAATAGCATGCCAAAACGTGTTAAAATGGTAGTTGAACAAAAGATGGGCATACTAAATATCAAAATTAATTTATGTCTCCATTAAATAAAGTGAATAATTAAAAATTGTCAAATTAAAAGACGTTTATAACAAATATCGCGACTACTTTTTTGTTCTATTGTAGATCAAGTGGGCTCTGCAAACTCAAAATATTTAGAATTAAAAAACAGTTATGCAAAGACGACTTCTTTAATTAATTAATAGTTTGTTTATTATTAAATCACCCTCCACGCATCAACGACACCTTATCGATACCTCAAAGGTCTAAACGCCAAAAATCAACTTCAACATTAAAAATGAATTCGAATTCTGACGCATTATTGGGAAACGGCCTACGTTAACAGTTATGCATTTGCATAATAATAATTTGATTTTTGACGCACAAATATGAAGTTTTATCGATTAAAAATTTTCTTAGATTCTTCATGATCAAAAAACAAAAATAAAATGTCGATCATTACAATTTTCAAATGTACTATTACTATTATTATTACTATTACTATTAATATCTTTCACAAATGGGCAAAAATATTCTTGCCTTTTGTAATCCAAAGGTGGTGGTGTTAATACTAAAATGGATAAAGCTCTAATTTCTTCCAAAATATCTGCTTTCTTGGTTTTCAATAAATTGAATTCAGTAAAAGTTCCATTAGCAACTTGAAATTTCACTGTACCAAAATTAGTTGCTTCAAAAAGAAAATGTTGATATTTCTGGATGCTTGGTAATTTCTTAAAATAAATTCCCACAATAGCTTTAATATCTAAATATTGAAAACCTTTTCCACTTTCATAACATTGAGCTTTATTCAATCCTGCTGGACTAGACTTTTTTATTACTTCAACCACATGATCAGACAATCTATTCTTGTTCTTCTGTAAAGTTTTTTAATCATGCCAAAATTACCATCATATTTGAATTTGGTATGTCCTGGAACCATAAAATTCAATTCAATACTTTTATAATAACCACAAATTACTAGATACAAATAAAATCAAATAGTCACATTATTTTTATTTTGTCCACCAGCATTATCACAGGTAATCTTTAAATGTTTTTCACCTTTATTCAATTTCTTAATTCCATCAAAAATCATACTAAGAGTGCCATTAGGACCTTTTCCTATAATTTCATCTTCATCAAGAACATAATTAATTTGCCCTTACTGCTTCATCTTGAATACCAAATAAATGGACTTTACATGGACTAAGATAATAAATTTTACTCATTTGTTGATTTAAATGTGGTACATGAACATTTTGGGTTCAATCATAACTATAATGAGCAGTAGCATCAATGCTGCAATACTGTGTTTTATCCTCGGAACAATGTTGATCAACTAGTTTTCTTTGTTGTTCTGCTAATTTGGTATTTTTATTATATATATATATAAAAATGAACAAATTGAAACAAAATAAAAGTTTTTGAATTTTTAGTTGATGATCACATCCATATTAGGTAACCCAATGTTTATTCTTATTGCCGATTTTACTATTTATGGAATGACTAGGAAATATCACATGACAAAACAATTTTTATTGCATTTTTGATTGGAAATTTTTTCCCAAAATTCGTCGTCGTGGCGCAGTAAGTTGCGGGATTAGGTGTCCTGCACTGTAATAATTTCTCTCTAATTTGGCCTTAGACAGATGTTCTTTAAATCTTTTAAGTAATTCTTTGACTTCTTCTTCTTGGCGAGCATTGTAATGTAAACCATATCTAAAATGCTGACAAGTATCACACAGATCAGTCCTTGGACTCATAATTTGAACCTCTGGTATCAATTGATGTCATAATTTTCTGAAAGCATCATATTTAAGGATTTCAATTTGTTATCTTCTTCTAGACCAGCTAGAAAATCTCTATGGACTAATTTATAGCTCATTTCAGTTGATAAGAATGTAATTGTTTGGGTTATTCTATTGATACTTCTTCCTGGACTTGGTAATCCATGACTTCTGCATAATTTTCTAGAAAATTCTTTACTACTTCTGCAACATTTTTATCAATCATCATTTTAGTTTTCCATTGGGGCATCCTTTTAATATTACCATGAATTCTTGGCAGAAGACCATTGTTTATCAGATGACTTCTGATATTTTCAAAGTAAGTTCTGCCAATTCCTAACATATTGAGATAAGTTTCTTGACAAAGAGGTGTATTGTGATCTCAGTGATAGAAAGTTCTTTTATTAGATCT